CTCGAGCTGGCCATTACTACTTACATTGTTTCAGCAGTAGGCTATTAGGCTAACAGAATTGACTCCTGGTGGTTCAAGGCACAATATGTGATATAACTATTAGCTGTCTAGGGAAGGAAGCTACTAAGAGTCTAGCCTTCTACCATATAGGGGTTCTTACAAGTAAGTCCCATCCCTTCTCTATGCCTTACAGTGAGGTCACCCTGCATGTTACCTTCCTATAGTTCCTTGGGACTAAGTGCATTGTGTCCCACCCAGGAGGGAAGAGGTGCAGATTGACATAATGATCAAATCTTTTTTTTTTTTTTTTGTCAGTCCTGGGGCTTGAACTCTGGGCCTGGGCATTGTCCTTGAGCTCTTCAGCTCAAGGCTAGCACTCTACCACTTGAGCCACAGCACCACTTCCAGTTTTCATTGGGGATAAGAATCTCACGGACTACTTTCCTGCCCTGGATGGCTTTGAACAGCGATCCTCAGATCTCAGTCTCCCAGGAGTGAGCCAAGGGAACCTAACAACAATCTTAGCTTTAAAATTAAACAGCCTAGCTTGGGGTGGCTCCTAGCTCCTCCCTGGTAGGAAGCAGGAAAGTCCACAAGATTCTTATCTCCAATTAATTACCTAAAAAGCCAGAATGCTAGCCTTGAGAACAAAAGCTCAGTGACAATACTCAGGCTCTCAGTTCAAACCCCAGGATGGGCACAAATAAAAATAAAAAAATAAGTAAATAAAACCGGAAAGGGAACTTGCCCACGAAAAGTGAAAAGCAACTATAAACACATTTTATTTTCACAAAATACAGTAATTTCTAACTCAAACCTTGTTATACTAAAATAAACATCCTGAAATTATTTTCTTTTCTCTTTTAAGTTCAGTTAACTTACTTAATATTTTTTAGAATCAGGATAAAATCCTTAACCACTACTGGGGTCTAGTTGGACTCAGGTGAATTCCAACTTGTGAAAGGGCTTTGTTTGTGGAAGACAGCTCCTCCTCACGCAAATTTCACAATTTTTCACTGTGAATCCTTGGTGATGGGAGTAGACCTACAGTCACACATGGAGAAGAAAGCCCCAATTGCCTGGCATTTGAAACATCTCCCCTGGGGAACCCAGAGTTGAGCAGTTGCCGGAGCTCAGAGGCTGGAGCTTAGCAAAACATTTGCCCTCTCCAGTAGCTATAACAAGTTACACTTGAATGAAGGAAATGGAATGATCCCAATTCACTTCCCAGATACACAAAGCCCCACTGTGGGGCATGAGGGTTGACCAGGTGGCTACCATGTGGAAACCAGGTCTGTGGGGATGGGAGATGACCTCAGGGTCCCTTTTCTAGGCTAAACTGAAGAAATTACCACCCCCCCCCATATGTTTTCTTAACTTCACATGAATGGCCTGCATTTATAGGTTCAACCTAGTAGTTCATGCTACTGAGGAACCTGAGTGGGTCAGGAGAAGAGGACAGGGGAAGAGAAGATAGATTTTTTCCCCTTTCCTAGGCAGCAATCTCTTGCTAGTAGTTTTCCTCTCTTGCTCTCGGTGCTAGGACAAGGTAAAAGTAACAGAAGGGTACAACCAGTTGTGGTGATGCCTTCAAAATACAGGATTTAACTGTTTGACTCCGTTGAATTTCTAGCATGTGACATAATTCTAGTAATACCTGACTCTTTGCTCAAGGCTACCAAGCAGGAACTGGCCCTTCTCACACCAGAGCAGAGCAGGACTCTATGCAGGTAAGCCCACACCAGCTTCCTCACTGAGCCTGAGGGACACACTAGCAAGCAAGCTGTTTCACTTACTAGCTGTCAGGTCAGATGGGCTTTATGGGGTGGGGAAATCTCTTTCTTCAGATTCCTTATACAGAAAAGTGAGAATCTATGCATACTACAGGAGACTGAAGGCCTGAGAAATTCTACTCTTTCCCACTCCTGGAGATGTTTTCAATATGCTTTGCCTAAATCTTCGGTTCATGTTGCCCTGGATTGTGAATTGGATTCTGAACATCTGCTAAAGCTGCATTCATCCAGGTGGTTTGGGGAGGGGAAATGGAGGGGTGGGAAATCTGAGTGTTCATTGGAAATAAATATTCCATGCAAAGTGAAAACCATCCCACACTGCGTTTGTAGGAAGTGAAGAGCATATGAAGGGCACCTTATGGGTTATGGGTTTGAGTGTGGGGTACATGTTCTTCCTAAAACTAAGATTTAAGGAGGGCTAATATCCCAATACCATCTTTCCAGCTTAGAACTCTAACCCTTTCTGCTATCTGATAATATCTACCATTATATAGTTTAGGCATAGTTCAAAATAAATGAGTGATTTGTTTTGAATAAAGGGGTGTGAGAATAAAGTATAAATAATCATGTAAAGTTAATAAATGTAGAAAATAAGTGTACCTGTCTTTTAAATTCAGATGGGAGCTTGTTAAGCATACTAGCTTTGGGCCATGGTCCATGCCATGCATCTACATATTCTTACAATAAGCCACACCTTCTAAATCAGTATACCAATGGTCATGTCTGCTCAGAGCCACTTGAATGATCCATCAATCAACAGGATTGAGTGCTGTTCTTCCTCAGTGGTTGAACAGGCTGAAGTCGAAACTTATGTTCTAGTGATCATTTTAGCAGACACAGCCAATGAGCCCAGACCACATGTCACCAGCTAGTTCTCAGGTTCTTGAGCGGTGCTCTCACATACAGGAAAAAAGAAATGGTTCCTTACAATGGAGCAATGGAGGCTGACGGGGCTGTTTCCCTGTCTATATACCAGCATAGGTGCAACATAGAACTGCAATTTATGCTGGGAAACCTAGGCTTCCCCTTGCACAGCTATAGGTTCACTAAAGTGAAAACTCTCTCAGAGGCATTGGAGAACAAATCCAGTGAACTAAGCTCCAATAGAGATGTAGCAATTGACAGGCCATGACACCGTCAGGATGTTAATGCAACAGCTCATGAAGAAGCAAGGGCTGTTGATACAATGTAATGAAAAATGGTGTGTGTATTGGGAAATATCAAAAATTCTTGGACACAGTTATGGTTAGTGTTTACTTTCTCTTTTCAGGAATGAGGGGTGTGTGTGTGTGTGTGTGTGTGTGTGTGTGTGTGTGTGTGTGTGTGTGTGTGTGTATGTGTGTGTAGTGTGCCCTAGTCCTCAGGCTTGAACTCAGGGCTTGAGTATCCCTGAGCTTTTTCAGTGGTTAATTGAAGAGTCTCAAGGACTTTACTACTCAAACTAGCTTGGAGCTGGGATTCTCAGATCTCAGACTCCTGAGTCACAAGGATTACAGGTGTGAGCCACTAGCACCTGGCTTCCAGGTGTGCAGATTTGGGTTTTATTTTTTCAACACTACTGTTAATGGGCAGCTCCTTACAGTCTCTGAGAAAGTGGAAGAATGGCCTTTCTCCCTGCTGTTTGGAGTAAGCAACTCTCTGCCTGGAGCATTCCCCGCCTAGAGGCCCTTTGTAACCTACTTCTCACATGGTTTTATTATTTGAGCTCAGGGCAGGAAACAGAACCTGATTTAACATTTTTCTGAGTATTATTTTCACCACATTGAATAGGGTCCTTTTTTGATCTGCAACCCACAGCTGGGCTGTGGTTCTCTCAAAACACACAGACTAAAAAGCTTCCTCTTGTGTTAATGTCTTAGTGTGAGCTGACCACATGTCCCCATATATTTCTTTCTTCCCCACTGTTTCAGAGTAGGCACTGTGCTCAGGACACTAGGGGGCCAAAGAAGGCTACTCTGTGTCTACCTTAAGGTGACTTTCAAGAATTGCAAAATAAGGGAGGAAATTCACAGCCAACCACTTATTTTCATTACAATATACCAATTGAAGGTGTAATTTTATTTTATTTTTTAGGAAAACGAAGTGGTTTTTAATGGAGATATACTACTATTAACGGTTGGGTTATTTTCTTCCTGAAAATGAGCCTCAGCTGTGACTCTATGAGACTGATAATTATCTGAAGCAAAATAAACACAAATGTCTGGGTTAATGAAGTCTGAAACAGGGTAATGCCTGGGCACTGAGTCTTCCAAGAACAAAGAATGTAATTGTTCTGTACATATCCCTAAAAAAAATACAGAATGAGTGAGACCTAGGTACCCTATGCATGGGGACCTTGTTATGAAGGAGCCTGGGTGTATATGTGTGTGTGTGTGTGTGTGTATGTGTGTGTGTGTGTGTGTGTGTGTGTGTGAACCATCGAATGACGGTCTACATGAACTAGTTAAAGGCAGCAGCTCATCCTACAACTCAGCTAGCATCGGAAATCTGCTATGGAAGCCTCAGCTTTGTCAAGCATTAACTTAATAGAGTCAACATCAGATGCCCACTGCCCACAATAGAGTAACCGTTATTTTGTCTGACCATACTTTACCCAAGATAATGAGCATGGACCTGTCCTTCAACTCTGAAGTTCAAGACTTTTTACCTGCTACCCTATCTATCCTCGAAAGAGAGCTCCCTTGAATGTGGAGACTGAGCCCCACTCCTGCTTGTGCTTCAGCCAAGGGCCAGCAGGGAAGGGGTACAGCAATGCATTTGACCAATAATGGTGCTGTTCTATACTGTTTCCTCAGACTAGCATTTGGGAGTGAGTCACTGGACCTGCCTGCATTTTCAAGTGCTTGGTAGCTATTGAATTCTGTGGTTACTGTGACATAACAGTACCACAGATCCCTCTTCTGAATATGAGGGATGAGTGATAAAGTTTTGGGAGGAGTTGAAAAATAAAAATCATTAATATTTTTTGTTTCTAAGACAAGGAAAACACAGTATCCTTCTCTGCTTCTCATGTCAGTAAAATCAAGTGCAGTGAATCACTCCTTGTCATTTCGCTATGAAGTAGAACACAATCCTGTCACACATTGATCATGTGAAGTTCCAGAGGCATGAAGTCCATGAATGATATGACAGGGTTATTTTCTAAGAAAACAAAGAGCTAAAGATGGGTGCATAATAAGTTTCTTCACCCTAAGGGCCCACCCATACCTGATTCCTGATCCTCAAGCTGGTCATGGGATTCAAGTACTTCTGTTCTAAATTCCAGGCTCGCTCCTGGAACACTAGCTTGGTTCCATACAGCGGGCAAAACTAAGGGTGGAAAAGAGGAAAGAAATGAATAGTGATATATCAGCAAATGTAGACTGTAGGAGACAAAGAGGAATAACACCATTTTGCATTTTATAAAATCACAAAATACTTCTATAATGTATAATTGTCATAGTTTAGATGAGAAGAATGTGTTTCTTTTTTCTTTTTTTTTCACATTTTTGCTGGGTGTTGGTTGCTCATCCCTGTAATTCTACTCAGGAGGTTGAGATCTAAGGATCATAGTTTGAAGCTAGCCCAGACAAGAAAGTCCAAGAGGCTCTCATCTCCATTACTCCATTAACAACTAAAAAGAAAAAAGAAAAAAGCTGGAAAGGGAGCTGTGGCTCAAATGGTAGAGCACTAGAATTGAGCAAAAGAAGCTCAGAGATAGTGCCCAGCTCTGAGTTCAAGCCCCATGACCAGCACCACACACACACACACACACACACACACACACACACACACCCCAAAACAAAAAACAAAACAAAAAAAAAAACCCCTACCACCAAGAAACATTGTGTGGGAAAATTGAAAAGCATATGTGTGTGTGTGTGTGTGTGTGTGTGTGTGTGTGTGCGTGTGTGTGTGTGTGTGTGTATGTATGTGTATATATATCTGTATATATCTACGAAGAAAATGAGTATTATAATCAGGTTCTTTGTATTACTTTACCCTTAACTCACCATCTCATTTTGTCTGTAACCTCACCTTGTTCTTGCCACATACATTCAGGTCACTTAGAATTCCATACAGAATGGCTTTGAAAATATGTGTATAATTTGTTTCTCTTCTCAATTCATGAAAAAGTACATTTAATGCGCTTTCTGAATATTGTCATCATGATAGTTTCCATTGAGCATGGTTCCATTGAGTAAACTTTCACAAAAATAGCATTTCTCATTTACATCTTGTTTCAACACATTGTTCCTCTTACATTTCTGAAACCTACACACAGGGTTCCTCATGACATCATGGTTCACCCAAGCTACAAACAATAAGTTTTCCTGAAGCAAGCAGTGACTTGCCATTTAACAATTCATTCATTCGTCTTTTACTGTTCTGTGATCCCAACGCACACAAAATAGGGAGCTCAGTGTGGCCGTTCTTCCCAGCTCCATCCCCAGCTCCAAACTCAGCCAGCTGCCATCTTGTTTCATCTCTTCTCCTACTCAAGTCCTTCTGTATCATTGGGACACACTTCAACCATGAACACCTCATTGTGTAACTCTGAAAAAGGACCAGGACACCTTCCCTAGGTGCACAGACTACTCTTTAAATCAAGAAGTGGCATCTCCCACCAACCTAGCATCAATGCGACTTGCTTAGAAGCTAATATCATTGTCAAACCCTGTGAGACCCACAACTCTTCTTATTCTGAGTCAAATGGAGTTAGTCTTCCTTTCAGAAGATGGTATGTCACTTAGGGGCCACAACACTCAATAGTCAAGAAGTTTGCAATCATATATGTAGATAATGTAGTCTCTTCTTTCCTTTTCTGGACATAATAGAATCATTACAAAGAGCCTCAAGTATTCTGTCTTCCTAGAAAGTGTGGCATAACACCTTGGGTATGATATGAACTTACTAAAGGCTATAATGTAATTGTGTGGACAATGTATTTTCTTTTATATGCACTTTCATAAGGTATCCACTTACCCTATAGTAAGAATAACTGAAGAGAATAATGAAATACATCCTGAAAATATAAATCCTGATAAAGTAATAAATCATGTACATTATGGGGCTAAACGGAATCACAGGTCTTTAGGTGAACTTCAAATGCACTCCAAAAGAAGTATTTGTTAGGTACAGAAAGTTATTCCTTATCACTTGCAAAAATACAACAGCAAAGTCAGGGACAAGAAATCCGGAGTATAGAACTACAAGTATTCTTAGAAATCATCTAGTCTTCACACATAATGCAGAAAGCTGCCACGACCAGGGTCAACCAAGACACCGCTGACTATTCTCACTAGGACAGTTCAAGAATTCATAATTTATAATTTAAAAAATAGTTCATAATAAAAAATATTAAAAGTGTGGACAAGATGTAGGCAAACCACAAGAGACAGTGCAGCACACCAGAGTGGTAACTACAGGGCTGCTAGCATGGTAGGGCAGGGGGTAAGCAGGTGGACAGGGGCTATTGCATCCTGGAAGACAGAGCAATACAAACGGGGATACTTCAAGAGGAGCTAAGACCATCAGTTGAGGAATAGAACCCCAAGGTGACCCCACAGAGAGGCAACAGGAGACAGAGATCCTAATTTCCCTCTTCTTCCTTTCCAATCTCTGGCTATTCATGGACACGAATCCAGCCATGATTTGAATGTGTCCCTCCAAAGTTTATATGTTAGAAACTTAATTCTCAAAATTTTTATGTTAATGGTATTTAGAGATGAGGCCTTTACAAGGTAGTTAGGGTTAATGAGTTGTGAAGGTAGGCCCCACATGATAGCGTTTATAAGAAAAGGGAGACTCTAGCCGTCACCCTTGCTCAGTGGTGCTCTCTGCTGGGTTATGATTCAGCAAGAAGACCTCACCAGGTGGAACACGCTGCTCTTGAACTTGCCAGCTTTCAGGACTATGGTGAGCCAAATAAACTCCTATTATTTATTTATAATATTATTTATTTATAATAATTATAATATTATTTATAATAATAATTATAATATTATTTATTTATAATATTATACCCCTCTCAGGTATTTGGTGAAAACAACAGAAAAGAGTCTAAGATTCTTTTCATGCAAGAGTCAACTTCCTGGTACATAACTAGGTGGAGAAGAATGGAGACTAGAGCTGGAGAGGAAATGGAAGATAGTCCTTACAAGTTCCATGTCTCATATTCATCCAGTCCTGGTCTTTTTGTTTTTTCCTGTGTGTTACTAAGGTTTGAACTCAGCACTGACATGAGGCAGGTATTGTATTGCTAAGCCACATCTTCCGCTGTGTGGTTATTTTTGAAATAGGGTGTCACTTTTTATCCAGGCACGTGCCCAGGCTATAATCTGCCTATTTTATGCTTTCTGCCATAACTGGCATGACAGATATATGTCACCATGCCCAGATTCTGCTGTTAAAATGAAATTTTGTATACTTTTCTGGTACTGTGATCTTCCCAATGTCAGCCACCCAAGTAGCTACAGTCTTTTTATTTTTATTTTTTTCCCCTTGGTGTAGTCCTGGGGCTTGAACTCAGCGCCCCGGGCACTGTCCCTGAGATTTTTTTGCTCAAGACTAGTACTGAAAGATTAAATGAAAGATTAAATAGATTTTGCCAGAGAACCATGAAAACCTCCAGGTACAGAGAACAAAGAAAGGTTTATTGCCGGGAAAGGAGGCTAGCAAGACTCCTTCTCACAAGGGAGAAGGGAGAAGAAGCCCTGCTATTGTCTGAGGTGACCTATATAACCCAGGAGGTTTAGGAGGAGCTAAAGGGACTAAGAGGCGGAGACCCCAGTGTGGACATGTGGACCAGGGGCTTCATCATGGTGGACTAGGATTTATGGCTGCTATCCAAATAGTAGATAAGGGGTCGTGCCACTGCCCAGACCTGAAGGTCACTCTAAGGGGCTCTTGTTGCTTATATGGTGGTAGCTGCCCCAGAGAAGTGCCATCCCAAGGTAGAGGGGGCTGGAGGTTGATTATTTACTGCCTTTAGTACATGGGCCTACTGTTGCCTAGGAAGGGAGCATGCTAAGCTGTGGAGAGGGGAAGGAGTGGACTAAGCTATGGAAGGAAGCTCATTTTACTAATAAGTACTCTATCACTTGGGCCACAATTCCATTTCTGGATTTTTGTGGTTAATTGGAAATAAGAGTCTTATAGACTTTTTTGCCTGGACTTGCTTTGAAACACAATCCTCAGATCTCAGCCTTCTGAGTAGCTAGGATTATAGGCCTGAGCCACTCCACCAAAGACTCTATACTTTTATAAACAAGAGAATTTTCTTGTATAGTGGCCATATAATATTTTTAAGCAAATGAGCAGCAAAAATTATCATGATCATTTGGCTTATATCAAACATTTCACCAGCTGACACTCCTAACTAAGCACCTTGTTTTCAACCAATTGAGGTGCATATCTATATCTATATCTATCTATATATCATCCCTAAGGGCATGTTTGTTAATTTGTTCTTTTAAAGTCATCTTTTCAGAATGACCTACCTTGAACCCTTCCAAATGTTTTGATTCAGTCACCCATCATGTGTCATTTATAAGCTGGTCAAGCCTCATCTACCATGTTATAGGACCTCCACTTTTCAGACTTTAGTAAATAAGACAGATAACTCTAAAGATATAGTTTGAAGATTCAGGTTTCAGGTAATAAATAGTATACAAGATCACCTCTGACAGTGGATGTAGCCATGACCTGAGGACTCAAAAACACCCTACAGAGTCAAAACAGATTGAGGAAGAAGATCAGAATTCAAACTACAGCCAAAATGCTGCTATGTTTAACTTTTTCCTTTTGATCCTCATAATGTTTGTCTCTGGAGGAACAGAGCAGGATAACTAAACCCAGTTTTCTAACTGGATGATGAGGAAAGGGAGTCCCAGGGAACTGGACAATACTGGGGAGGTCATGGAGAGGGCGGGCTTGGGAAAGCAGCCTTACAGTTGTTTATGTACTTCTGGGCTCAGCCACAGGAGTGTGTGTGTGTGTGTGTGTGTGTGTGTGTGTGTGTGTGTGTGTGTGTGTGTGTGTGTGTGTGTGTGTGTGTGTTTGCTGCTAATTAGTATATAAAAGACTGGCAATTGAACTAGCAGACAGATGAGAGCCAGACTGGCCAGCAAGTGGTGCTCATGTGGAAGAGGTCTGAATGGACACTGGAACCACAAAGCAGGGAAGGTGGATTGCAGACCAAATACACTCAGGTCCATTGCGGCTAGAACAGAAAAGGGAACCATCACCCTAGCATTTTAGCAGGATCCTAAACCATAACAAAATACTCAAAATGTTTAGGGAAAATGTAAAAGTTTTTTTTTTTTCAG